TATGAGCTCATTTATATATATACACACACACACACACTATATACACACACACACTATATAAATATATAAATATAAATATATATATATATCCCTTAGCATATTTCTTGACACGGTAAACAGTTTCTGGATGCAAATCACTTTGTGGCACCTGCAGACTAGGGAAAGCTGCAGCTTTGTTGAAGAGATAATTAGAGAAGAAGGAGTCAGCACCCCAGTGAGTAAGGAAAGGAGAAGGATCCCCAGCAGCAGGATGCTTAAGAGCTCTAAGAGCACATGGCATGTTTGCGGAAATTGCTCACGGTTTATTCTGACTGAAAGACAAGGTAAAAGGGGAGAGGCAGGAGGAGGTGGGGCAGGAAAAACAACCAAGAGCAGATCACAAAGAACCTTGCAGAGCTCGTGGAGGAGTTTGAACTTGATCTTCCATCAGTCCCCCCATCTACCTAATCAGACTTCTCTGTTAAGCAGTCACATAAATGTGTTTAAGAGCAACAACAGCAAAAAGGGCAAAGAGGGCAGTGAATTGGCCTCAGATGAACTGACATCTCTTTAACGTTAATATTCCTCCTCAGGAATACTACATTAATTAAACATGTGCCTTGGAAGATTCATTATTGCTTTGCTTGTGCTCCCTGCTGGCTGTCTCATTCATTCATCTGCCGATTAGTGACCCTGAACTCTTGCATCCCCCTCCCTCCTTGCGTTCCCTTTTTCATAGACTGTGCTGTCCCCCCGGGACGTAAACTCCAGGACCCGTCTCTGGCCTGCTCACGTTTGTTTTCTTTGCCCCTTGTGCCTGCCTCTGCTGTAACATTTGTAGTATGTGTTAAGTAATCCTTAAGGTAACATTTTTATTATGTCATAAAAAGTGCATGGCAAATATATTATAACTCATGGACTTTGTTTAAAAATGAACGGATAATTTATTGAGTGCGTTACATGAGCCTTGCTCCCCTCCCCATTTCAGCTGAGGCTCGCTGCTCATTTAGCCTCGCCTCCTATTGAGTGCCCCCACCCTGTGACATGCTGGGAAAGCACACCCATGGTTGGCTAGAAATGACATCATAGTTTATGTACTCAATAAAAATTTAATTAAGTCATTACAGGAATTGCAGTCATCATTTAACCCTCTGATTTCTTCTGTTTAGTTTATTATTAAACATTCAGTAATACCAGTCACCAAATCCTGATGGCTTATAAAATATCTGCATGAATTTTAATAGCTTAAATAAATGGGAAAATATGAGTAACTGATATAAAAGGAACCTTTTCCTTGTGGTGGTGCTGTATGTATGGGTTTTTATAAAAAGCAAAGCATTATGAAGAAAAAAAGAAAAAGCCCAGCACTATGGAAAGGAGAAGCGTCTAATGAGGAGACAGCTGGTGCTGTCTGGGAGGAGCTCCTCCATCTGTGTATTCATGCACAGGGTGCTCCACATAGAACGGTCTGGCAGTGGGGACACAGGACCTGCACACCAGCAAACAAGAGCTGAGTGAGAGAGTGAAACCCCAACAGAGGCTCAGCCGAAGGAATATCCAACTCCCTTTGGCTGCTGGGCTGGCCAGAAGGGCCCAGTGGGTGAGTCCAGTAGTTAGGAAGCTGTTCTCACTTACTCTCACCTGTTGCCTGTATATCATGTGTCTGCACTAATCGAGCTTCCACCCTCTTCCAGGAAGGGCCCTTTTCATGATCTAATCCAGCCTGGGTGACGATATCTGAAAACCATTTCTTGCTGGGGCAGTGTGCCATTTCTCAGCTAGAGGTGAAGGGGAGAGGCAGCTGACAGGTCACTGGAGTTAGGATATAGGACAAAGAGGTAGAAGAGCCTTGCTAATGAAGAATTCCACTCCTGCTGTCCACTCTTGCTGGGTAATAGCCAGCCAGAATGCAGGTGCATCCCGAGAGGAGAAAGTGCGTTCATATGGAAGTAGTAGACCTTGCAGGGAAGCAAGAACCAAGGTCTGCAGGTTAATGTGTTGATGATCTCTGGAAACGCCCTGCAAATGGTAAAAGAGGAAAAAGCACCCATCCAGAAATCGGGTTCTAATCCTGACTCTAACACCTATGTGTGGCCTTGGATAAGTGTCTTCTCCTTTTTGGGTCTCAGTTTACCATTTTCTCAAAGGAATTAAGCTAGGCAATTTCTGAGGGTCCTTCCATCTCCAAAGCCACACGTGAACCAGCTCTGTGAGCAGATGCAGTGAATGTTTACATCTGAGAGATGCTCCTCCCTTCGTGTTTGACATTTCTGACGCTGTCCGTTTATGGCTCTGGTTCTTCTTGCACAGTTAGGAAAACAGCTAGTATGGAAGCAGGGAAAGCTCCAAAGCAGATATCAGCAGGTCCGGGTTGTAGTCCCATCCTCACAGTACAGAAGGAATTAAATCCAGCTCCTTTCACCCTAGTCCATTCTAGAAGATGAGGCAGTAGGAGTTTGGCAGCATATGTTTCTGAAGTTTCAGAAACATGCAAGGTACTCAGAAGCAAAAAAAGGAAACAAACAGACGGGTACCGCCGGACAGAACATGCTGTGCGTGGCAGTCAGGCCCTTGCGCGGGTTCAGTCATCGGCATTCCAGCCATAAACCCTGCTTGGGGCCGGGCGCTGGCCTGGGTGCCCGAGGTGCTGAGATAATCAGACAGAGTTCCTTACGACCTTTGAGTAGCACATAGACCAGTGGGAGAGACAGGTACGTAAGCAACTCTAAACCGTGCTATGCATCCACGGGGAGGAGTGTGGGCGGAGAGCTCTGGAAGCACAGAGGTTGGAGGGCTGATTCAGCCTGGCTGCAGGTGGCGTAGAAAGGTCGTGGATTGTGCGACCAGCCTGCATCTCGTCTTACATTTTCCAGTCTTGAGCTTCACAATTCTCTTTTCCTTTTTGAAAATTATTCATGACTATAAAGTATTAGAATTGATTCTAGTTTTATGCAGACAGACCAAAAAGGTATTATTCATAATTCCTTGAATTTACAGAGCAGTTCATAACATATTAAAGCTTTCAGCACACACTGTTGAATTAGTGAATGAATACATGCTAATTCATTTGCTCTTCAAACCAGCCCCGTGTCTGAGACATTTAAAAGACAAGGAAATAGACTCAGAGGTTACTTGACTTACCCAAGGTCACGTCCTATGTATATAGCAGAATTATGACTTGAACCCAGGTTTTCTGACTAAATTCCTCACTGTTCTTCTCCGCCCTTCTTCAGAGACCTGCTATAAGCCACAGGATTAAATCACCCAGTGATTGATTTATGGTCCAAAGTAAAATGATCCTCTTGAAGGCAGAAACCTGAGAGAACGTAAGGCACGTGGGCTCTGGGATCAGACTGACCTGGAAGCTCCTTCTCAGCTTTGTCACTGGTTTGTGGTGAGGCCTGGGGCAAGTCACTTCACCTGTCCGAGTCTCAGTTTTCCGTGTCTGTAAAAGCATGACTGCAGCACATCTGCCTCTCTGAGCTCCCGCAACAGTTAGAGGAGATGATGTCCACAAAGCACCTGCCCCTCACCAGTGCTCAGTGGATGGGAGGAATGATGCCACGGTCAGGGTTGTTAAGCACAGATCTTATTCTCCATATTAAGTTCCACATGACTTTTGGTTGTTTCTAAAACCTGTCAACTTAAATATTTAATGAGTCCCACCGTGTATTACACATTACACTAGGCTTTCTGCTGTAACGTGGGATTCCAGAGAGAAACGAAAGCTGGATCCTGCCCTTGAGCTACATCTGGAGGCCTGGAGGTCAAAGTCTGACCCTGTTGGATGGAGACTTTCAGTGAACTTCACTCTAGGCTCTGAAGGCCCTGCTGGCCATGCTCTGAGAGGAGCCCTGTCTGGGCCTCAGCGGTCTCTCTGGAATAGCGTTTCTAAAGTGGTCTCTTCGTATTAACCAACTCAGTGCCTCAGCCCCTGTTATTCTCTCCTCTGTCCAGGGCCTCAGAGTCCCCCGTTTCTCCTCAGCGTCTCGGAGTCCTGCCTCTCCCCTTTCTGTTCCCACATCCGTCACTACTTCTGTCCCTTCACCACATCAAGCTCTTTCCGATGATCCCTAGGACATTTCCCAACTAGACCCAACACACCTTACCATCCGCCCCTCTTGTCAGTGCCTGAATGTTCTTACGTGCCTTTGCCCCTTCGCACACCTTATTCACTCTGTCTAGGATGTCGTCTCTTCTCTCCTCCCTTTACTCTCTGCGGTCAGCCTCCTCCTCCTCCGAGGTCCACGTAAATGTCACCTCCTACAGCACTCTTCCCCAGGCCCCCCAGCAGAGATCATTCGTATCAAAATTCATTTCTGGCTCACCACTTTTAGAATAGAATTTGAGATAACATGTTGCAGGATAATTACAGTTAACCCTCAATGATCTGACACTGAACCCCCGTGCAGCTGAAAGCCCATGTATAACTTTTGACTCTCAAAACTTAACTACCCTTGGTGTCCACGGGGGATTGGTTCCAGGACCCCCCTCGGTCACCCAAATCTGTGGGTGCGCAAGTCCCCTATATAAACTGGTGCAGAGGGACACGTAGAGCTGGCCCTCGTCATCCACAGACTCCCACCTGTGGGTGGAAAACAGTACAGGCACTCACTGGGGGGAAGTCTGTGTGCAGGTGAACCCACACAGCTCAAACCCACGTTGTTCAGGGCTCACCCACAGTTTTTGCGTGTCCGTTTTCTAATGCTAGACTGCGCGCCCCTCCAGGCAAGCAGCTGTTTCTTCTACCTTGTGTTCGTGGGGTCCAGCACAAAGCCTGACATAACAACCTCATTAAACTGGGTTACTGCTTTGTGTAATTTGGCATCAAAACCTAAAAGAAGCCGTCAGACTGGGGAAAGTCCTGACAGATCAGGGACATGGGGCGAGCTGGCAGTTTGACCTGTTAAGGGACCATCTCTCCTTGTCCTAAGAGTATTTGACAGCGAACACCAAAGCGCCTACTTTTTGATTTGTTCCCTTCTTTCATGCTTTTGCTTTTGTGATTTTGTTTCTTATAGGTTAATCCCTATATCCTGAAGAAGAACATGATGATTATGACGAATAATTTCTATGCAGCAATCTTGGGATACGATGAGGTAAGACGGTTTGCAAAGCCTCGGGCAGAACAGCGGCTTCCCCCAACAAAGGCTTGTGATGAGCGCCTCCGCGGGAGGCGTCAGCGGCTGTCACGACCTGCCTGCCGTCATGGCTCAGTGTTCACTTCACCTCCAATGGCGACTAGAATGAACGTGCCCTCATTTGCCTGTGCCTGGGAAAGAGAGCACTCTACAATAAGGGCCCATCCTTCCACTGGTCAGCGTTTACTGAGTGCCTGTGGGGAGCTGGACGCGGGGACTAAGGCGGAGCCCTCACTCCCTCAGCCCCAGGTGCCCCCGGAGAGAGGAAGACACACCACGTAAATAGTGCCGTCTGCCAGGCAAATGGCACACTTTATTTTTGTCTTCAATTGTAAAGGCAGTACCTACTCATTTAAAAAATTCATACAATGATACATAAGTGTTGGAAGTAGAAAACAGAAGGCCCCTTTCCTATGCTGCCTACTTTCCTGCCCCGGGGGAAACTTCGTTAACACTGGCCTGGGTGTCCTCCCGGCCGTCCTCCGGGCAGACACAAGCTCCCGTGTGTTTATTTCCTTGATGCACATGGGACTCGCACCATACACACTGTTCTGCAGCTTGTTTTCTTCACTGAGCAGTATATTTGGGCATTCCTCCACATCAGGACACTTAGATCTATCTCATTTTTCTTATTATAAAATATACATAAGGTAACATTTTAACTGTTTTCACCATCTTTAAGTGTCCATTTCGGTCACATTAAGTACAATCACATTGTTGAGCAATAGTCACCGCCGTCCACCTCCAGAACGTCCCCATCTTCCCGAAGGGAAACTCTCCCCACGAACACTGTCTCCGTTCTCCGCCCCGCCCCCGCCCTGGCCCCTGGAAACCACCATTCTGCGTTCTGTCTCTGTGATGCTGACTGCCCTGAATACCTCATGTAAGTGGAATCACACTGGTTTTGTCCTCTGGTGTCTGGCTTATTTCACTTAGCATAATGTCTTCAAGGTTCATCCGTGTTGTAGCATCTGTCTCATCTTTTTTCCCCTAACTGTTATTATGGAAATTTCAAACACATAGAAAAGTTAAAAGAATGGTATAATGAATATCTGTGTGTACACCACCAAGATTCTTCATACCTCATCTTTTTTAGTAAACCATGTGCTTTTATGTTCACTTTGTGGTTACCTCCAGATTTAGTGTAAGCATCGCCCCTTCTGGGAAATGGTCCCAGAGCTTCCCCAGGCTCAGCTCACCCTGCCCTCCCCGGACTCCACAGCCTGGCTGCATTCGCGTTAACTCTCATCCTGGCTGGGTGGGGACTGTCTGGGTAGTGGCAGTGCCTACTGTGTTTGTGTTTCTGTTGGCTAGCATGGTGCCTGGCATGGGTTAGATGAAGAGGAAGGAAGGGAGGAAATGCATAAAAGGATGAAAGAAACTAAAGTGGAGGAAATGTTATCAGCCTAAAGATAATAATTAAAGCCAGGAGATAAGCTTACAAAAAAATTAAGTTAAATGACTTGCTCAGGGTTATAGGACTGGTTAAGATTGAGGTTTCCTCATTCCCAATCCACTAGATAATCTCAATTATAAAGAGCAATTTAGATTGCATACCATATGCATCGTTAATTTAACATGACCTTTCTGGGAATAGGATGGGAGTTGAGAAATATGCTTGAATCTACACATTAATTGTTAAATAGGATATATTCTGATTTCGGAGACCTTACAGTATATAAAAAAATGAAGCTTAGCCCAGGCTGGTGTGGCTCAGTGGATTGAGAGCCAGCCTGCAAACCAGGGGGTCACCAGTTCGGTTCCCGGTCAGGGCACATGCCTGGGTTGCAGGCTGGGTCCTGGGTTGGGGGAGTGCAAGAGGCAACCACACACTGATGTTTCTCTCCCTCTCTTTCTCTCTCCTTTCCCCTCTTTCTGGTAATAAATAAATAAAATATTTTTAGAAAATGAATTGAAGAACTGAAGCTTAGAATGGAGGAAATATAATTCTCTTTCTATTAGCATTTGTTTGAAGTCTTTGTATCAGGTGGCTCAGTTGATCCCTTTCCCCAATATTAATAAAGACATTCTGAACTGTATCTCTTCTGTCCCCCATCCCAGGCTGTCCTAGAAGAGCCACCTTACAGTCATGCCTGGTCACAGGAACTACCTGGAGTGCTTTTTTTTTTAAGTCCTCACCCGAGGATATGTTTTATTGATTCCAGAGAGGGAGGGAGAGAAAGAGATGCATATTGATGTGAGAGAGCATTGACCAGTTGCCTCCTGTATGTACCCCTGTCGGGGATCAAACCCATAACCTTGTTGGTGTAAGGGGCAGTGCTCCAACCAACTGAGCTGTGCAGCCAGGGCACCTAGGGTACTTTTAAAATTTGATTCTTGCCCTGACTGGTGTGGCTCAGCTGGTTGAGTATCATTCCGCAAAGCAAAAGGTCGCTGGTTCCATCCCCAGTGAGAGTATGTGCCTGGGTTGCGGGTTCTATCCCCGGTCAGGACACATATAAGAGGCAACTCAATGTTTCTCTCTCACATGGATGTTTCTCTTCCTCTCTTCCTCCCTTCCCCTCTTTCCAAAAATAAATAAATAAAGTGTAAAAAATGATTGATCCTTGAGCACCTCTTTGCAGATTCTGGTTCAATAGGAGGTGGGGCCTGGTATTTCAACAAGTACCCCAGGTGACTCTTAAATTAAGAGTGGGAAAGTTTGAGAAATATATTAATCACCTGGGACACTTTTTAGAAATACCAATATTTGGGCCCTGTCCCCCAAAAGTTTGGATTTCACTGGAGGAGGTAGGCATCTATAGTTGTGAAAGTTCCCTGGGTAATTTTAATGTGCAATTCTAGAACAGTTTTTCTTAAGTTCTAACATGCAGGCAAACTTCAGGTTTAGACTCAGCAAGTCTGGGCGAGGCCCGAGGCTCTGCGCTGCTACGAGCCGCGAGCGATGGGCGCGCAGCAGTTCTGTGGACCGCCCTGGGGGCCGCAAGGTTCCAGACGTGTGCTGTCCAGCACTGGCCACGTGTGGCTTTTTTATTTAAATCCGTTAAAATAAAATTTAAAATGCAGTTCCTCATTTGCACTAGCTGCATTTCAGGTGCTCCATCCTACCTGTGGGTGGTGGCGACTGTAGTGGACACAAATGGGAGACCAGAAACAAATGGGAGACCATTTGCTGTAGAACATCTCCGTCATCGCAGAGATTTCAGCTGGACAGTGTCGTACTGACGCACCCTTTTCCTAGGCTCTTGCTTGGATCGTCCCCCCACCCTGGACGCCCTGGACACTAGTTGCTACCCATTTGATCCAAAGAAACTCAGGCCTCTCGTGCACCTTCCCGCACCGTGACATGTTCTGTCCACATTCATTCCTGTTTCCTGTTGATGGGAGGCCAGTTGCCTCACTGCCCCGCAGACAAGCTGTGCCTGATGGAGGCTCCTCTGGACAACCAGGTGTAGCGGGCAGTAGCTGAACCTGTCAGCCGTGGCCTTGCGGGCCTGGTTGCAGGCCTGGCACCTTATAGGCACCCCCTCTGTAAGTATTTAGTAAACTAAAATTATTCTCTCCCACTTATAATGTCCTGTAGTTCTCCATATAGTCTCCATTCCTAAAGGCCCCACTTCTCCACAAAGCTTTCCCTGACCTCTCTAGGTCTCTGTCTTTGACTCTGAATTTCAATATCCATCCGTCAATTTAACAGGTATTTATTAAGTGCGTACCGTGTGTGATGCACTGGGAATATACTGGCGAATAAAAAACAAACATGGTCTTGTTCTTCCCCACTTATTTACTGTCTCCCCTTTACCTTCCAATGAGAAGACAAGCAACAAACAAGTATCTAATTACAAACAGAGTACTGTGATAGAGAATAACAGGAATGTGCTTAGTGTGGGAAGGTCTCTGAACAGTTATAGAAGCTAAGACTCCAGGATGGGGAGCCAGCCATGAACAGAGTATTTGCACCGCGGAGTCTCCCTGTACAGGTCAGCGTTCGCTCATTCTCCAGGGTTTAAGCCTGTTTGATGTGCATTAGCTGTGTCCCTTCAACTAAATCGCAGGCAGCCTGTGAGCTGGGACCATATTGCTCTGGCTGTGTTCCTGGCACCATGCCAAGCATATCGTGGGGTCAAATCAGTCTTCACTGAGCGAGACTCTGCTACTCTAAACCCTTAGTTATCACCAGAGCCCTCTGGCGCCAGGACAGTCCCTTTTAGCTTCCTCTTGGTTACTCTAGACCTGGGTGTCTTTGTTTCCTGAAGGATGCCTTTTTCCTTTTTTCTGTCGGAGAGAAAGCAAGTGGGCACCCTAGTAGGTGGCGGGAAGATCGCTGCGCAACCTATTATGTGCTCACAGGGCACCCTTTCTTCCTGCTTCCTGGGTCTGAACTTTACACTCTCACAGACCGGTCTCCCATTTGTTCCACTGACTTGCTAGCAGCGTGGGGGAACGAAGGCTGATGCTGGGTTTGTAGACTTACTTAACCATTTATTGCACTTCCACTGTGTGCCAGGTAGTGCTTCCTAACTAGAGCTAGAGCTAGCGCTGGCCCCTGACCTCACCAGTGCATTCTGGTTCTAGTTCTACCACCAGTTAGCTAGATAACCTCTAGGCCTTAGCGTACTTTTCTTTCAAATGGGGACAGTCATATCTGTTCTTGGCATCCATGGTCATTAGGAGCCAGGTGTGAGAAGGAACTTGGAGTAGTCAAGCTGTTATCCCTTTTGATCTGAATCTTGAGACATCCTTTTTCTTTTCACAATCCAGGAACTGATTATGGGTTTGCCCCTTCCCAGCCACCTCACCCACCACCAAGGCCGCTTGTCTGCTGCGGGCTGTGGCTCCCAGGCGTTTGCTGCCCGGTGCTCTGTGCTCATTCTCCAAGTCCTCATAGCACCCGCTCGCACTCCTGCTCCTCCCCAGTAGTGCCGGTGGGTCGCTGCCAGCAGCACTCCGGCATGTGCCCAGGGCACTTCAGACACAGGCAGGCTGTTGTGTTAGCAAGTGGCTTGGAAAGGGGTGATGTGCCTGAGCTTGTCCTTGGCGCCTGTCCCCATCTACCAGAAGAAGCTGGTTTTCCTGATTCAGCCATTGTGCCAGGATGGTCTCAAGTGGTGGGATTGTAGGGGTGTTTAGCAGGGGCATTTGGAATAGGCAGACTATTTCTGGACATGGCTTTTCCTGGCAGCAGACCTGAAGCCAGACCTCATACTGCAGTGCCCTGGAGGGTCAGCCCACAACATATGTCAGATACATGGTCTTGGGTCTTTGTGTAATGATTTGCCACATATAGGGTCTTTCTTGGCCATAATCTCTCTCATTTTAAAGATTTTATTTATTTCTTAGAGAGAGGCAAAGGGAGGGAGAAAGAGAGGGAGAGAAGCATCCATGTATGAGAGAAACATCAATTAGTTGCCTTTCACACACCCCTAACTAGGGCAGGCCGGTGCTCAACACACTGAGCCACACCAGCCAGGGTGTCACAGCCATGATCTCTTAATCCTCCCAACTCTGTGGGATAGGTATCACTGGCTTGTTTAGCCAGCAAGAAACTGAGGCTCAGGAAGGGCTAGTAGCTTTCCAAAGGCCACACAGCCATCAAGTGACAGAGCTGCCATTTGAACTCAAGTGGTCTGATCCCCAGATCCCACTTTTTCACCCGTTGTCCACAGTGCCTGCCAACGCAAGCTCCTAATTTTTGTATGTGACATATTACACTTAACAAAACATCTTTACGTCTTATGTTTATAATTCAAGGATGCTCTGAGGAGGGCAAGCATTTTCATCTCTGTTTCGTAGTCGAGAAGTTGGAAACTCAGGTTTAGTGAATTGCCTGCCGTCTCTGAGCCTGGCAGAAGCAGGGCTAGGACTCGATCCAGCTTTCTGACTCCCGGTCAGCACTTCGTCTGGTTCCACACGCTGCCTTGGCACCTGGACAGAGCAGCCTCTCAGGGCCCTTCCCTTCAGTCACCCTTACCCCAGGAAGCAAAACCCTCCCCCACCCTCCCTTAGAAGTCCAGGCTAGAAAATGGCTCTGGTCCGTGTCCCAGCTGCTGATTAGCCTCTGTGATATTTGGACTCTCCAACAGAGGTCTCCTCTGTGCCGGGAGAGACAGTGCTAGGCACATATGCACACAGGCTCTGCGCGGTCCCTCTGTGGCAATCCTGGCGGACTGCCTGTTTCCCTGCTTGGAGAGAGGCTGGGCCAGCCATGGCAGGTCTAGAGCTGGGTGGCATTGAGGCCAAGGTGCCTAGTTTCCTTCCTCAAAGGGCCAGCTGCCTTGCAGGTATGTGCCCTTGGTCCAGGCGAGAAGGTGCAATCCACGCCCACCTCTCTTCTTGGGAAAAAATATACACCCTGAATTGTTCTGAGCCTGTGCCTGCGGACAGCAGTGGAACCAGTGCTGAGTAGAGGGAGCTGTGGCTTGGGAGGGTCAGCCAGACATGAGCCCCATCTCTGCATCAACCTTAGCCAGTCACCCAGCCCTCTGGTTTCCGTGTTTCTCCTCTGTGTGAAAATGAGGAGTTTGGGCCAGACACTCTCTGAAGACCCCTTCCAGCTCTGCTGTGTAGCTCCCCCATTTCTCATAGTGTCTGTAGTGTCCTTCGGAGCCGGTTCTGTGGTTACCAGCATATTCACAATATCCTCAGCTTCTGCCCCGGGACTCTCCCCATCCCCCCGGAAGACCGGTCATTGTACTCTGTGTTCCAGGGACTCCTTTCGGATGATCACGGGCTGGCTGCCGCCCTCTGGAGAATGTTCTTCAACCAGAAATGTGAAGACCCTCGGCAGCTCGAACTGTTGGTGGAATACGTGAGGAAACAGGTGAGCGGCCATTCCCACCCCCTCCAGAGTCTCATGGAGAGCAGGCCCTTCCTGAGGCCTGTCGAGGCTGGACGGCCAGAGCACCGTGAGAGGCTGAGTTCCCAGAAGCCAGCCTGAGGGAATTCTGACCACATCACGTCAGCAGTGGGCACCGATGAAGAGCACTTTCCGTGTGTCCCCCGTCAGCTAGGCCAGGCGCTGGGGACGGGAATAGGAGAAAAGCCACTGAGTAGTCTCCTGCTTTCAGAAACCGTCATTCATTCATTGCATATTTCATTCTTTTCTGCGCTCCAAATGCTGTGCCAGACCCTGGCACACACAGTCCTGTAAAGTATGGGCATGGGGTACAGTGCAGCCACCCACTGTAGACCTCCTTCTGTACCCACTTGGAGCCCCAGGATTTGTGTTTCCTGCTCCTGATTTTGGCAGGGCTGGGCTCCAGATGGCATTCTACAGATACCCCTCAAGCCTCTCCCTAGTTTGCATAGTCAGGTGGGGTCCCCCCACTTCAGTCCTCACTGTCCTGGCTCTCCAGGGCTCCCTGACACCCAAGTTTCCAGGAGAAAGCTCCACGGAGAATTCACTCCTTGACCTCTCTGTCCCCTGATCCTGTATTGATGGGAAACCCTTGCTGTGTAGACTAGTGAGCTGAGTAGCAGGGAAGAGGAACATAGAGGCCCTTCCAGGGTCTCCCAGTGAGTCGGCCCGCACAGCTGGCCTGCAACCCCGAGCTGGTGATTCACGGAGCAGCCAGAGGCCTCAGCTGCTCCAGACAGCTCATCGGCTCAGGCTGTCCCATGAGTCACACCTTTGCTTCCTGGGCCCAGCCCCTGGAGCTGGAGGGGCCTCGCCCCACAGTAATTCTCTTGTTCACCTGTGTCCATGGCCTGCAAGCCTCCAACAGCCAGAAAATGGAAGGCCAGGCCCCAGCTCTTGAGGAGAAGATGGCCAACAGGACCATCTTGTTTGTCGATTTCTGGAAAGGCCGCATGCTGAGGCTTTTCAGACCCAAAGCGTAGAGAGCCCCCAAAGCCAGAAATTCTGTGTGAGCATTCTTCAAATCTGCCAGAGCCAGAGAGAAGGCACTGTGGCCAGAGGGCCCCACCCACGGAGAATTCTGAGACTCACACTGTTCACTGGGCTCGCCCTCAGCCAGGAGTAGCAATTGGCAAAGCAAATGCTATGTTTTCTGAAAGACCAGCCCAACTTTTCCATCTGCTGTGGTGGGCTTATGCCAGGGGCCATGACAAGGGCATAGCTGGGACCTCTCAGGGTCCTAAAGGAAGGGGCTGATATGCTAATGCCCCTATAAGAAGTCCCATATTTACCCCAGCTGGTGTGGCTCAGTGGATTGAGAGCTGGCCTGCAAACCATAAGGTCGCTGGTTAGATTCCCAGTCAGACCACACACTTGGGTTTGCAGGCCAGGTCCGCAGTTGGAGATGTACAAGAGGCAACCAATCGATGTATCTCTCACAAATATTGATGTTTCTCTCCCTCTGTTTTCATTCCCTTCCTCTCTCTAAAAATTAATTTTAAAAATCTTTAAAAAAAAGTAGCCCCATATTCCAGTGATGGGGCTCTTAGGGAAGCATGGAGCTTTGATGAGGACTCAGCTCTGTCACCAACCGTTTTGAGTACCTGCTGTGCCAGGCACTCTGTTCAGAAAGTAGAAATTAATGAATCTTAGTAGTGGCCTCAAGGAGGGGGCTTCTGGTTTGGTGAGGAAATCAATCAGGCATGAGGCTGCCCCTGGAAGAAGCCAGTCTGTGATGTGATGCTGGGAGGGACACAGAGAGGAGAGACTAAGTCTGACCGAGGGGACCGGGGAGACCGGGAAGCTGGGGTCTGAGCAGACTCCGGTCCTGCACCGCAGAGCTCGTTGGCGTGGTAGACTGCCCCGAGAGCCAGTCAGGGTATGTTGAGATTTTCTTCCCAGGAGATGGGCATAGGGTAGCCGTAGGGGGAGAAATGGAGTCCTCAGAAAGAGGAGTGGATTTGGGGTCAATTGATCTCCTTGCCCTGGGGGACAGCAGGACATGCAGAAATCTAGACCTGAGGCAATGTGAGAGACGGGTTCAGTTCGAAGGTCGGCAGGCTGAGGGGAAACACGGAAGTGAAGGATTCTTGGAAGAGGGAGATGGTCCAAGGCAGCGGTCCCCAGCCTTATTTTTCACCAGGGACTGGCTTCGTGGAAGACAGTTTTTCCATGTACCGGGGTGGGAGGTGGTTTGGGAATGATTCACGCACATTATGTTCAAGCTCAGCTTCTGCTGTGCAGCGCGGTTCCTAACAGGCCCTGACTGGTGCCAGTCTGCGACCCAGAGGCTGGGGACCCCTGGTCCAAGGCATAAATAACATGAGGCCTCTGGACTCCTGCCCCTCCCCTTACCCCCCGAGTTGCCTTCTTACCCCAGATGGAGTCTCGTCTTTCTAAGTCTCACGCTGACTCCTGCTCTGGTCCTGCTCTCACCCTAGTTTTCGCCTAGCCACTTGAAAGCATTTCTCATTCTTTGCTCTCATTAGGAACAGCCTGGGGAATCCTCCCAGGGATGGCCTTGCTCTCCTGAGACTCCCTCAGCTGCTCCTTAGATCACCTTCTTCTCGCCCTACTGCATCTCCCCTGCAGCCATTCCTGTTCTCCATCACAGGTGCCCCCCCCCCACCCAGAGCTGGGGGCGGGGCAGGGATAAAGTCCCCCAGCCGTCCTAGAGGGATGAAGCTGGAGCCCACTGACTGGAGTTAGGGCCAACTAACTGTGGGGCGAGGGCCCACTGGAAGACAGTGGAGACAGACATAGTTTTTAAAAGAAAGGAAGTCCCAGTGACCAGCAGTGTACATTCTGTCCTTTGATCTTGCCGTAAGTCCTGTGAGGTGCGCATTCCTGTCTGCTTTCTCAGGCAAGGCAGCTGGAATCTCAGAGAAGGGAACTGACTCACCTCGGGTACCATTCACTGCTGCTCTGAACGGACACACGCCCCTACCCTCAGGGCTCGTCTCCCTGACCCATCCTCCCTAGAAAGTCCTTTCAGTCCAGAAAGTCAGAGCTTGTGTGTCTGTGTGTCTGTTCGGGTGTGTGATGGGGAGTTCCCTACCCTTCCCGGCGATTTGTTTCTCAAAACCTCCTTAAGTAAACTGATCCGGGAGATCAGAGACCACCCTGGCCTGAGAGATGGCCTGGTCAGAGTGGCCTCATGCCCCGCTCCTCTCCTTTGCAAAGCTGGTTCCTTATGCCACCTCATGTCTATCCTGCCCTGAACCTTTCCTCTGTTTCCTGCCCACCCCTGCAGATTCAGTACCTGGACTCCATGAATGGTGAGGATCTGCTCCTGACAGGGGAGGTGAACTGGCGCCCTCTAGTGGAGAAGGATCCTCAGAGCGTCCTGAAGCCCCGTTCCCCGATTTATAATGACGAGGGTCTCTGATGAGCTGGTCCCTCTGAACAGCTGGCTGGGTGGCTTTGAAGAACAACCAGGAGCGAGGTGCCTCTTTGGCCCAGGACCCTGCAGAAAGTGGCCTGCACTGACCTATGAACAGCATCTGTCAAATACCTTGCCCCGTTTGTGTTGGTTTTCCTCTAGCATACCCAGGACTCTGATCTGGTAGGGTATGCAGCTGGGAGAAGCTGCATACCGAGTGTGCTCCCCCTCAAGAGAAGCCCCGAGCAGAAGCTCCCCAGCACACATTCCCCACAGCCCCTCCAGCCACCTTGTGATTGACAGCTTTTCTCAGAGGTTGCAGCAGAGACGGGCTGTGTTGGACAGGGGACACCCCCACCAAGGGCCCACCGCGGCCTAGGAGCAGTTCGTGATGCTGCTGCGTCAGGACGGGTAACCATGCTCCGTCCCCTGGCTTAGAGCTGTGGGGTGGCCATTAAAGACACAGAATTAACTCTCCCATGATTCTTCTTTATTCCAGAATCTTTCAGAAACTTACCTGAGGTGGGGTTGCTATAAGCCGAGGAGAACCCCACAGCTCAGAGACAGGGGCGGGGAGAGAAGGTCGGGAGGGTCTCTGCTGCTGCTTGTGCCTCCAGTTCACAGAGGGTCACCGTTCTGGCCAGGCCGCAGGCCGCCGGGCCTGGTGCCCGGGGACCCCAGAGGCCTCTGCTGGCCGAGGGCTTATCATACCCCAACTCATTTGGAAAGGGGCCTTGAGAACAAAGGTTCCTTTGTCACCCTCCAACGAGCCAGGTGAGGAACATGCTGTCTTTACTCTCTGTTCCCCCCTCATGTGAGACATTGGGGAGAAGAGAAGACGTTCTTCCTGGCTTTGTTGTACCATCGCAGGACCCGGCCCCGTGCCCGGCTTTCTGTGCCCTTCCCGACCCCCGGAGCGCGTGCTGCAGAGTCACCTTGGTCTGAGCACTCGCGGGCCAGTCCCCTCCCCCCTCTGAGTGTGGGTCATCTCTTGGGGGACTTTCTTTAAACTGCAGAAAGGGGGCGGGGAACCATACTGCCCCTCCTTCCCCCATCAAACTTCCTTCATTTAACTTGCTATAAAATGAGTCATATAAAGAAACTCTATATGGGTGAGGTATATCCCACTTCTGTGAAAACATTACAAATCAAACCGCCTTCTCTGCGTTTATTTAAGATGCTTTTGTCGTGAGCAGAGCTCTAGAGTGAAGCCTCCTCTGTGTGTGTGAGATAGTAACACCTTGTCGCTCATTACAGCTGGGCACTGTTTACACAAGCCAGAGCCGAGCCAGGCAGGAATTTGCTGATTAATTTATTTTTAATGGAGTGAAGTATACCGTGCACCAAAATAAACTTTACTGTGTATACCTAACTGCTCCTGGAATGGATGGAAAAATTAATGGAACAGATTTTGGCTCCCAACTCTACACATTAATTCATATATAAAAGTTATTTGGGCCTTAACCCATTTGCTGCCCACGGCAGCTCCTCAGTCCCAGATCCCAGTTCAGCTACCGGGCTTGCTTTGGAATCATGGAATCCCTGATTTGGAAGGAACTTGGAAGGTCCCGTGGTCCAGCCCTGGTCCAGAACTTGACTCCCTGTCTCAACTTTCCAGTCGGACTGTGTCCACACGGGCCCTGTGTGATTGCCTCCAGCAGGAGATGGCCCCGGCCTCTGAGTCACGTCCTGTCCTCACGAGTACTCGTCACACACCGCGCGCCACTTGTGTACGATGCTGCGCGTCAGAGGGCTGGATCAGTCCGTCACGTCTGCAATGTCCCCAGCCCTCACCTTCTGGCCATCGGCCTCTTTCACTGACTGCACCGCCCGCCCCCCTCCCCCGCCTTCAAGATAAAATCCAGGCCCCTCAGAGGCAGCAAGGCTCTTCTGCGTGTGACTTGTGCTCGTGTCTGTGAGTCTCTGACGCATTTCTTTCCTGAACCAACTGACCCACTCGGGGTTACGGGAGAGACCACCCTGCATGTTTCCTCTACCTGGATTCTCTCCTTAGGGAAGGAGTCCTGCGTGTTGTCAAACGCCCCTTCTCCTGTCCATGCCGGTGGCATCCTCCGGGGAAGCTGCTTTTACTCGCCCACCCTCCATCCTGCGCTGGGAGCTCCTTCAGAGTGGGCCCTGTGTTGGGGTCCTGGCCTTTGTTTCTCCAGCGCCCAGCAGGGTGCCTGCCTCGTGGTGGGCATCGACAGGTGTAAGCTTAGATAAATGAAAGAAGGAATGAGTGACTAAATCACCAATCGTTATCATGACGAGCCTCCCAAAAGCCCCTTTCTGGACTGTTCTCTCAGTCTGACCTACAGTTCAGCGCGTTCTCACAGTTCCGTACGAGGACCTGGAGTGTGCCGTGTGTGGCCCAGGCTTTTCCTGTTGCGCGTTGTTACTATACAAAGCGAGCGAGGGACAGGATTTCCTGTCCTCGGGGAGACTGGCCTCTAGGAATACTTTTGTCATTTATTTGCCCTCTGTGTACTTCCAGAAAGGACCACAGAAAATCAAGAGACACGGTTATAGTAAAATTGCAAAACAATTAAAGTTTAGAAGATAAGATACAAGCACTGGTAGGCAGGAGAAGGAAAATAATCCTGTTTCCTAACGTGATCATTTTAACCTCGGCTGCTAATACCAACTTTCATGTGACTTTTTGGGTGACGTGTGAAGTGTTTTTAATGTGTCATTCACAGCAGCCCTATAACTAGGTATTGTCCTCCTCGTCCTTGTCCCTGGGCACGAGGGAGGGGACTCGCCCGTGGGTCGCCCAGGGTGTGAAGGGCCAGAAGTGCCCCAGCCCACGCCTCCCACGCGCAGGGCCCTTGCTCTCCCCCATCTCCCTGCCTCGTGGGTCGGGGAGGAATTCTGCAGCAGGGCCTGAGCTGCTCTGAGCTTCCTGGCAGCCGAAGGCAGAAACGGGAAGGCCTTCACGTTCTGTAGTTCCCGCCGTCACGTGAGAGGAAGCGCACTTCCTCGTCAGAAGAAACGAGTGTTTTCCTGACTCTTCAGAGAAGAAGAATGTCTTCCAGGGGTTTTGCATGGGAAATACTGAACAATGTAGTGAATAATAGTACCCTTAGGATTGAATTTTACCTAGAAATTAGAAAATCATAAGCAATTGCTATTTCTCCCATCAAGCTAAGATTCAGGCCCAGGCCACAATTCAGCCGATATAGTTTGCACTTCTGTTCTGTGCCAGACACTGCTCGGTATGTCCACCTGCTTTCTCATGCAGTCCTCAGTGGCAGCTCTGTGAGGTGAGGGCTGTGAAAAACCAGAGAGCGCTCCTGGGAGCTGGGAGACGGCGCTGTCTGGCGGGTGAGGGGAGCTTGAAGAGAAGAACCCTCTTTTCCCCAAGTGTGCCCTGCAGTGCCCTAGGAGATAGACGGGGTGGGGGTCGATGCCCCCACCGTGCCGTGGGGAACCAGGGCCACTGAGGAGAAACCACCGACTGCCGCCAGGAGACCCTGTGGCAGCGCTGACCGTCCACCTCTTCGGAGCCGACCCATCGCTCTCAGTGCGCCTCCGCTGTGCCTGCACGGGGTCGGTCCGGTGGGGGACTCCACCCAGCGATTCTCCGCCATGGACTGTGGCTGGTGCGCCACGGGAGTCTTGAAGACATGCAGTGCCTGGCTCGTCGGGCACTGACCCCTTTTCCCTTAGACCAGCAAGCAAAAAATGACAGCGGCCAACACAACAGGAGCCGTCCGGTGTGAATGAATCAAAAGCACACCTATTTCTTTTGTCAGATGGGCAAAAAATATAACATATTGTGTGCCGCAGAAAGTTTAGTGATTAGTTTATGTGTGCCATGTGATGAAAAAGGTTGAACATCGCTGCTTTAGACAATACAGATCCCCAGGGAGGGCAAGGGGATGGGGCAGGGGTGGACCTCAGGACAGTTAGGACGGGTGGGGGACTGGCTTTGTTGGGTATGGAAGGGACACTTGAAATCCTGAAGCCGGGTAGGCTCCCAGAGGTGAAGGGCAGAGGGCAGACCGGGGACCGGGGAGGGCAGGGGTGGGTGGCAGGAAGAGCAGGACCTGGCACAGGAGGAGGGTACGGAGCGGAGGCCGGGGGAGGCGAGAGCTCCCAGGAGGAGGCTGTCAGTGCTGAGTGCTGCAGGGAGTAAGCGGGCGAGCGTGAGGGCTTGAGACTATTTCAGGAACAGGAATTTTGAGAGGATACAGATTGCAAAGGATGTGGCAGCAGCTGAGGTGTCTTGGGAGGTGCCCAGCCGAGAAGAAGTGGAGAAAACTTGGGCAGGAGTCAGGAGAGCAGGGCGAAAACAAAGGCCTCAGCACAGGGTGATGCCGCAGGTGTGGGCGGGGAGGGGCGGAGTCTGGGGAACTGCGAAGTACTGAGTGGAAGGAAACTTCTCATAAACGTTAGGCGGTATTTATTATTATTTTTTATTATTAGTAATATTAGTGTTAGTATTATTTCCCTCTGGAAGTGGAAGCCAGGACTTGAGAACAGGGGCTGGGCTTTGGAGGGGAGGAGGGAACCATTGCCTGAGACCAGAAGCTGGAGGACGGGTGGGGGACCAGGGGTTTCAGAGGTGGGGGCTGAGAAGGCAGGGGCAGCTCATGCTGGTCTAGGTGCCCAGAGAATCTAGTTGTTCTGCCATTTGGGTGAGGGGGGAGGGAAGGGCACCTGGCCGCTTCGTGGGCAGAGAGCTGGGCAGTCCCAAAGTGTCCGGACTCTCCCCCTGGGAGCAGCCCTCCTATACTCGTTGCCGTGGTACTGCCTGCGTCCAAGCGCCTTGTCCGCACCGCGTCCCACCGTGCCTTGACCCCCTCCCACCCCCGCACTGGGTTTGGCCTGGGGCCCCTGGCCGTAGTCCTCCACCCACGTACCCCTGGCTGGGTGTTAACTTACCCTTCACAAGTTTTTCCGGGCTTCCAGGTGGCTTCCCTTGAGCCATGCTGGCGAGCCTAGGACCAGACCCTGCCCCGGTCAAGGACCCCTCCTGCTCCTGCTGGAAGAAAAGGTCCTGGAGGTCCTGACTGGGGCATTTCCAGGAAGGACGTCTCCACGCACTGACTGACCTGTAACGTCAAGGAGTGACGGAATACAGTGTGAGTGCCCTGAGGGGCCTGGAGGCCTCCAGGCCAGCCCTCCTGCTGCACAGCCGGCAGCTGAGGCCCTGAGCGGCTCCCTGGACGTTTCAGTCAGGAGCCAGACCCAGGGGCCTGTGCTGGCTTGCTCCTTCCCTCGTCCCCTCCCTGTGGCCCAAAACAGCCCCTGCAGTTCCAGGTCGCCACCTGGGAAAGAGCCTGCCACAGGGCTGTCGCCCTGGTAGGGGTGGGCGGTGGGGAAGAGGTTCCTCTAAGGTCCCAGGATGGGTCATGAGCTCTACACCCACGCACCTGGTTTATACCTCGGCCTAATCTGTGGCTTAGAGTTATTTATGAGTCTGCCTTCCCCACTAAAGTGAGTTCCTTCAGGGCAGAGACGGAGTCTTACTCACCTTGGAACCGCCCCACCGGCCTGAAGTGGGCACTAGGTGCATGCAGGGCAGATCGGGTGGACCGGGAGGGTGGGGGAGGGGGAGAAGAGGAGGCCAAATGGCCCACCACTGAATGGGATGGGATGGAGAGGGTGCAGGGAAGGATGTGAGGGGAAGGTGAGACCCTGCTGCCACCGTTCTCATGCCTCAGGGTCCCGAGTGCCCAGGAAGGTGCTCATACTTGTCTGTGTGCGAAGTGGAGAGAGGACCTTGCCTCCTGTGGCCTGGGATGACAGTCTGGGTCCGAGAGCCGCACTCCATGGGCAAGGCCGGAGCCTGGGTTGCTCTCAGGGCCCCTTTGGGCCAGAAGGGGCCCCAGCTTGAGGCACTCCGTCACTGCTCCGTTTGTCTTGGCCAAGCCCCTGCCCTCGTGGCTGCAAGAGCTCTGGAACCAGCATGCACTGTGCTGCTGCTCCTCTCGGTCAGTCGGTCAGTCACTCGACACAGAGTAGCCCGTTGATCCCTCACAATGACCTGGGGAGAGAGGTGGTGCTGGTTGAGGTTCACAGATTCCACTGCCACTGCACTCAGCTGTGATCGCCAGGCTCAGGAAGTGCCAGAGCCAGCCTCTGCAGCACGCAAGGACAGCGCGCCTGCCGGGGCTGTTACTGGGAGTCTGGTGCTTCTTGCCGCTCTCCCCTGGGGACCGCCTCCTAAGCTACCCCGCAGTGCCACTCTGGGACTCGTGCCAGCCTCCGTGCTGTCGTCTCCACAGTGAGAGGCGGCACTTCAGCAAGGCCCTCTTCCGAGTACGCCCAGGTGGCCCTTCTGACAGTCCTTCCTGCCTACAACCGCCCCCACCTCCCTCCACGGCTGTGCCCCTGCCCCCCTAGTCCTCCAGCCTGGAACAGTCTGCTTGTCGCTCTGCACGTGTCGAAATCCTTCTCATCCTCGAACACCCGGCTCGAGCCAGTGGCACTTGCCACTAGGCCCTGTGTCTCTAGATCTGCAGTCGATGTGCTTTGACTCTGGGGAGCTGGGCACACTCTGGCTTCCCTCCTGGCCCTGGCTGCTTCTCCCCAGGAGTCTTATCTCCCCTGACCCAGAAGTGCCACGTTGAAGGTGTGTGGCAGTGTGGCCCCAGGGCAGCCCGCACCTGGAGGCCTGCAGCCCAGCCTCTGCTCCCCCTACCAGGCGCCACTCAGCTTGTTAGAGACAAGGCTAAATGTCCCCTAGGATGGCAGAATGATGCCAGGCAGGCGCCTGACACACCTCCTGGACAGAAAGATATTTTTTTACCTTCCTCTTAATAACTATTATTAAGGGGCCTGTACCCAGCACACTGTAGGCAGGGTCTGGGCTGAGCTATCTGCATGGTTCCCATCTCCCTGGCCCCCACCCCTAGGCCAGGCCCATGGCCAGAGTCTGCCTGTCTCCCCTCCTGTTGCCCTTTACCCACTCAGCCCAGAGGGAGAGGCTGCCATTCCTGCAGCCCCGGGGGGATATGGTTTGATGTACACGCTTTCATTAACGGGAGGCCGGGGTCCCTTGACTCAGTCTTCCCATCCCTGCCCTTAGCTGAGCTCCCTCGGACCAAAGTTAGGGCCCAAGACCACAGCCGCGCAGGCACTCATGCACACAGACAGATCTGCGCCGACACAAACGGACTCTGCACACGAGTGTGTACACACAGATGCACACGCAGGTGAATACACACTCATTGACGTGCAGGTAGAGAGTTAAAGACAGCCAGGCAGATGCACAAACACCGCAGTACGTGCACGGACGTACACATGCACAGGTACATTTCTGCATAGGTGGAGGCATGTACATTAAACCTTACACAATTGCCAATATTCAGTGTCTTTTACTAAGAAAAAGTGGAATATAATACAAACGTGGACATAGAGGGAAACATACAAAAATACAGAGCCAAAGTCACACACCCGAGTTCGAGCAGCATTATTCCCAATAGTCAAGTGGCGGAAACAACCCAGTGTCCATCAGTGGGTGAATGGATGAACAATGTGGTATATGCACACAGTGGAATATTATTCAGCCCTCAAAAGGAAGGAGATTTTTTAAAAGATTTTATGTTTAGAGCAAGGGGAAGAGAGGGAGAGAAACGTCAATGTTTGTGAGAGACACGTTGATTGGTTTCCTCTCACATACCCACTCTGGGGGCCTGGCCCGCAACCCAGGCATGTGCCCTGACTGGGAATCGAACCCTTTCAGTTTGCAGGCCAGCGCTCAATCCACTAAGCCACATCAGCCAGGGCAAAAGGAAGGAAATTCTGACACAGGCCACAACAGGGAAGAACCTTAAGGATATGATGCTAAGTGGAATAAGCCAGCCACAAAAACGACAAATTCTGCATGATTCCACTGACGTGAGGTAGCTAGCGCAGTCAAGTTCATAGAGACCGAAAGTAGAGTGGTGTTTGCCGGGGTCTGGAGACGAGGGGGATGGGGAATTATTGTTTCACGGGTCCAGGGTTTCAGTTCCGCAGGATGAAGCGAGTTCTGGAGACGGAGGGCGGTGATGGTTGCACAACAGTGTGAGTGTACTTAATGCCACTGAACTGTAAATGGTTAAGATTAAACTATATGTTACGGGCATTTTACCACAATTAAAAATAATTTTTAAAAATACATACCATCAGGTAGACGGATGGTGCTGAGAGATAAACACAGAAACTCAGCAGCACAGAGCCGTGGCTGCCTCCCCTCCTGGGAGCGCCCCTCCCACGCAGACAAGGCCCTGGGTCTCCCCTTAAACACACCTGGGGACAAGGCCCTAATGAAGGCCCTGCCACCTGGCTGCCCCGGAGCTCATCACCTGCCCACAGTCTGGCCTTGCTTACTCAGCCTCCTGCCTCTCACACAGCCTCCCCACCCCCAGGGGAGGGTCTCCTTGGAGTTCCTGGTGTCCCAGTTTCTGCTCCTGCCTCTGAGATAGTGTTCCAGCATTTCATCTCTGGGCCTGTGTCTTTCCCCGCCTTGTTACACTTTCCACATCTAGACTCCTTGAAGACAGAGCCCAGCCCCATTCATCTTTGATCCCAGGGCTCAGGTCGATGCAGGGGCCCTGCCCACGCCCCTGTGCACGTGTGGGGCCCTGTGTGAAACTCTGTGGATGTGAAAGAGCGTGTGCTCGGACTGGATCACAGACCAGATACACCAATTGCAGTCAGTGCTAAACAGGGTCAGGAGACATGGTGTGGGGTCTCCTGGCCATCCTCACTGGACCGCGTCCCTCCACAGAGAGGTGGTCCCTCCTGCCGGCACTGCACCATTGGGACCGCCTCTGCCTGGCCGGCCGCCCCAGCCCACTGCCGTCTTCTGCACCCCTGCTCCAGAACAAAACCTCCCACCTGTGCATCTGAGAACTCTGGGGCTCTGGCCCTTAAGAGCGGAGATAAGAAACCTGCCAGCCCTGTTTGCCTTCTGACTTTGTAGTTCGTTTTCTGCGCCCCCCTCCCCCATTCTCTGAAACACCCTTCCTCACTAACCATCTAATACTCAGCTCCTGAGGCGGGGAGGAAGGTTGCGGTCTGGTCCCCAGCAGGCCAAGAGCTTCCCTGGAGTTGAGGGTGTTCGAAATGCAGCCATCTGGAAGAGCATTTGTTGCGGGGCGGGGGGTGGGGGGGTGCTCAGCACCCTGCCCCAGATGCACCATGTCGTTTGCTACAAAGGCAGGCTCCAGAGAGCCTACCCAGACCTTCTGGAACAGAATCTCAGCTGGCTGGGGCCTAGGGACCTGCATTTCACACATCCTGGCTATTCTTGGGGACTACGGGGTGAGAGCCACTGCTCTAGACCCTCGGAGGATGGGCTCAGTGCTGGGGTGGGGGTGGGACGGGTGACTGAGTGCCACAGCTGTGGAGGCGGAGAGTGGCAGGGCCGCATGGGAGCAAAGGGGGGCCTCGATGGGGGCAGACAGGCCGTGTTCTTCGCGGTTCTGTGTGACACTCCCTTCAGCTCTCCTTTAGCGCCTGTGTGCAGGGGCGCCGAGGCTCACAATACACCCGTCACGGGACGTCTGGGGCTACGGCCGGTCTCCCAGTGGGTGTTTGGGTCTGTTTACATGTGATCAAGCGTGCGGTCTGCACACGTCAATCTGCAGTCTACGTGTGTCTTGTTAGCTCTCAGTCTGTCGGTCAGCCTGCTGTGCTTGTGTGTTTGTCTCTATCTCGATGTCCTGAGTCATTCATCTGCCCTAGTGTTTGTGTGTACACGTGTGTGTGTGCCCCTGAGCTGGGTCACAATACAACCTCCAGGGGGGCCTCTGAAGAAAGGTCAGTGTTGGAAGGAAACTTGCTAGGAGCCTGGTGGGGATGGGGCGGGCAATGCTGGGGCAGGGTAGGGGGGGGCGGAACAGGAGTGTGCGGAGGGCCTACCACTGACGTTTTCCTGGGAGGGCAAGTCCCAACAGCAGGCGGACAGGTGAGGCTGACCCAACAGGTTCCAGAAGCCAGGGGCAATGGGGCGGAGCATAGCTCTCTGACATAGAGCAGCAACGGGGGCCTGCCGCACACACAGGGCAGGCAGGCAGGAGCCGGGTTTGCTGGTCTCTTCTTCCTGGTGCAGCCAGCTTGGGGTGCAGGCCATGGGGCCTGCTGGAGGGTGACAGCAGCCCAGTGGGCAAGCATGTTTGGGGGCCTGGCAGCCCAGGGCATGGCAGGACCTCTTCGGGGCAGGGTGGAGGAGCTGAAGCAGCCCTGGTGGCGGGAGAGCTCACCGCTGGTGCTGCAGCACAGCGAGGCAGCCCGGCTGGCGGCCGACGCCCTCCTGGAGCGGGGCGAGGCTGCCTACCTGCGGGTGATCTCGGAGGAGCGGGAACTGCCCTTCCTGAGCGCCCTGGATGTGGACTACATAACCAGCCATGTGCGCGGGGGCCCTGAGCTTGGTGAGGCCCAGGGACTGGAGGCTGCAGGGCCTGACCGCCTCAGCCTGCTCTCTGAAGTCACCTCGGGCACTTACTTTCCCATGGCCTCTGACATAGACCCCCCGGACCTGGACTTGGGGTGGCCCGAGATCCCACAGGCCACGGGCTTCAGCCCCACCCAGGCTGTGGTCCACTTTCAGCGGGACAAGACCAAGAACATCAAAGACCTCCTGCGGTTCCTCTTCAGCCAGGCCCGCAAGGTAAGGACATCATCTCTTCAGACATCCATTTCACAGGTGTGAAAACTGAGGTCCCGGGAGGGAAGGGATGAGCCCAAGGACAGACACACCATAGCTCAGCTGCAGCATCGGGACTCGAACTTCTGCCTGCCACACCTGCTGCCAGACCGCAAGCTCTTCTTAGAGGGCGAGCTGTGTCATATTTATCTTGGTAACCCTTTGGCACTCGGACATTATGGGTAAGCATAGACCAAGGGATGGCCCTCAGGGACTCCACAGACGCCCTAAAAATGCATGCAATGTAGTGCCTATTGCAGAGAGGGGTCCTCTTGCATCTTTCCTGGGAGAGGATGTATGGCCTTCATCAGATTCTCAGAAAGGTTTCTGATCCCCAAACTAAGAACACCAACCTGGCTGAACATCTGAGCCACCCTCTGCCTCACATAAGAGGGAACTGAGGCCAGAGAGGGCCTGGGACGTGCTCAGGAAGGTCCTGGCAGTTGGTGGAGTAGAGCCCAGGGCCCAGAGCTGGAGGAAGGGTCCTGACTCAGGCACAGCCCTGCCTCCTGCTGTTTCTCCTGGTGGGCCTAAGGCGGACGCCCCCGGGCAGGATGTGTGGGAGGTTGGCTCCAGTGTGCTTGTCTGAGGGAGCAGCCCCGAGGGAGGGCATCTGTCTCGTAGAGCAGGAGCCAGGATACTGGGATCACATTGGTACCTTCGGAGTCGCCCTGGCAGGCCAGCCTCTGCCCTGGGCATGGGTGGGCCAGGCCTGATTGGCACAGGGAGTAGGGTAATTAGTGAAGTGGCTGCTGTGGTCACCCCTGCGCCTTTGATCTTTCCAGCTGGTCCTTGTTCCCCCTGCCCCTGGTCAGGCCTGTGCCATGGACCAGGGCATCCCCCAGCGTTTTGCCTCCTCACCCCCCCATCTAGACCCTCCACCTCTGGGCCAGAAGCCAGGCTTCTGCTCCAGGCTGCCACTGACTTTGACTAACCTAGGGAAGGCTTCCTTTTCCTGCTGCCCGATGCCCACTGCCCTCATCTGTTAAGGAGGCAGGAGGAAACGAACATTTATGGAGCTACTCCGAGATGTACGATAGCTATCATTACCTCCGTTTAGTGGATGAAGAAGCAGGGGCTTCCAGAGGTGAAGCAACTCGCCCAAGGCCATGTCCTCAGGGAGGAGCAGAGTGCAGGTTTGAACCCAGTTCCGTGTGGCTAGAGCCGGAAGCCTTTGATCTGCCCCTCCTGTCCCTCAGCGTGGATCGGGAGAAGAGGTTCTCACAGCAGATGTATGAAATGGGAAGGGTAGGAAAGGACAGTTGGGGGCCTGGTGTTGCCACAGGTTTTTCAGGGCTTCTCTGAGGCAGCCCATTGTATGAGGGAGGCCACAAGCCCTGGAGGAGACAACCTGGTCCCAGCTGGCATGGGTGGAAGTAGGGGAGTCCATAGGTGTAAGGGGTCAGGCAGACCTCTGTAGCTGCACAGGGAAACTGAGGCAGGTCCAGCAAAGGACATTCAAGACTGCAGTGTCTGGCATGCAGCTCTGACCCTTGAGAAAGGAACCTCAGACAGACAGTTGCTGGGCCAGAGCTAGGGCCGGAGCTAGTGAGGGGATTGGGAGGACCAGACTGGGAATTGGAGTCTGGATTCTGCCTCTGACGCCTTCCCCACTCTGGGCCTGGTTTCTCCACAGGGAGAGGGAAGCCCTAGATTGTGCAGCCGATCCACAGACATCTTTGAGACTCTGTTGCCAGATACACACTGTGTCCTCAGAAAAAAATGCACACAGAGCCTTTCGTACAACTTCTGGGGCTTTAAGACAGTGAAACCTCCCTGTGTCTAAAGTAAGAGCCGCTGGGCGAGGTCGCGGCTGAAAGCACTTCTGTTCAGGTTTTCTCGCAGGGTCTGGCCTCCTGCTTTTCGCCCCAGTGCTCTTTTCCTGGGGTCCCTGGCATTGCTCCCGACAAGGCTGGGCCTCCTCTCCCTCCCCCAGGTGGTGGCTGTGGTGATGGACGTGTTCACCGACATGGAGCTCCTGTGCGACCTCATGGAGGCCTCGAGCCGGCGCGGCGTCCCCGTCTACCTGCTCCTGGCTCAGGAGCACCTGGGCCACTTTCTGGAGATGTGCTACAAGATGGACCTCAATGGGGGGCACCTGCTGGTCAGTGAGCGACCGGGGCAGTAACCAGGGGGTGGGGCGGGGGTTAGGGAGGGCAGAAGAGGCCGTTGGGTGGTCAGTGAGCAGTGGGGGTCAGTGGGAGTGGGGGAACGGCTTCCCTTAGCTGATTAAGACCAGAGACCCCGTGGGATGTAGACACGGCTCGAGTCCCTTTCTCTTAAGGTCACCCCCCAACCTTTGTCCCTCCTTGGCTCAGAACATGCGTGTACGGAGCACGTGTGGGGACACATACTGCAGCAAGGCAGGCCGCCGCTTCACGGGGCAGGCCCTGGAGAAGTTCGTCATCGTGGACTGTGAGCAGGTGGTGGCAGGCAGCTACAGGTGAGCAAGTGGGACAGAGGGCGAGGGGCCCGGGGCTGGGCCAGTCTGGCTGGCGAGCGTGCCTGGGGTGTGGACTTCCTTCACTCACCCACCTCTGCCAGCATGGGCTGAGCGGCTGCCCATGCCAGGCACCATGCAGGGTGCAGGGGGTAGCGTGGGCAGCAAGACTGCCCCTGGCAAGGTCCTGGAGGCTCTGTGGAAGGATTACTTAAATGCCATTGGCACAGAAAATAACTATTTTACCTTGGAACTGGAGGGACCTCAGGGAACCTTGCCTCTGGTCCATTTTACAGATGGGGAGGTTGAGGCCCTGAGGTGGGCAACCATGTGCCCAAGCCCACTAAACTGGGCTAGGATTCATACAGACTCTGGGGTCAGAGCCCTGCCCCCTCACTTGGGCCCTCGTGGTGATGGCGTTGTCTTGGTGTGCTCTTCTGGCTGAGACTCCTGCCTGGGCCCAGGGCCGTGCACTTGGCCTCCTGACCCCGATGCTCTGCCCCCAGCTTCACCTGGCTCTGCAGCCAGGCCCACACTAGCATGGTGCTGCAGCTGAGGGGCCGCATCGTGGAAGACTTTGACCGGGAGTTTCGCTGTCTGTATGCCGAGTCTCGGCCCGTGGAGGGCTTCTGCAGCGGTGAAGACCCCAGGGCGCCGTGCCCTCCTCCGGTGGCCCTGACCTTCGTGCCCAGCATCCCGAGCCCTGTGTCCTCACCACCCTCCAGCACCAGCCTCAGCAGCATCAAGCGCTCCCCTCTCATGGGCCGCTCCTCCTACCTCGCTCTACCAGGAGGCGGTGGCTGCAGTGACACGGGTATGGGGTCCACATCCCCAGGCTCTGCTTGTCGCAAGGCCAGTGGCCAGCCCTCCCTACAGCGCCAGCTGTCAGATCCTAACCGTGGCTCCCCTCCAGGGCCCTACAGGGCCAACCTGGGCAAGCTGGGGGCTTCCCCCTGGTCCCAGTCCTCCCCTGCCCTCAACCACAATAGCAACAGCCACTTGACTCCAGCAGTGGGGTCACCTCTGCCTACTCGCCAGCGCTCCTTCCTCCCCTTGTCCCGGGGTGTCATCACCCTCTCCCGGCTCCCAGAGAATGGGTTCCCAGGAAGTCAGGAGCCTAGCCCCCCACGAGGTCGCAGGGTACCTGGCACAGGCCTGGAGACCGTGGAGGAGAAGAAGGGGTCTCTGAGTCAGAGCCATGGCCAGCTGGACCTCCTCATCCCCTTCCCCAGAGCCCGAGAAGCAGGAGGCCCTGATCCTGGGGTTACCTCCAACTCAGACCCCGTTTGGCCTGGGGAGCATGCCCGAGAGGACAGGAGGTTATCCTCAACCCAGAAACACAACCAGCTGGATCTCCTGCCCCGGGCTCAAGGTGCTGGGTGTGCTCCTGAGCCAAGTCCCCCCAGGCCTGGCAATGGGACCCCTGAGGATAAGAGGCTGCCTCCAAACCACAGCCATGGCCAATTGGACCTCCTGGTACAGTACCCCAAGGCTAGGGGCTCCAGAGTGCTCCCTGAAGCCAACTCCTCAGCCAGGGCTGGCAAGCAGGGTCCAGATGAGCGACGGCAGACCTTGGGCCACAGCCAGCTGGACCTCATCACAAAGTTTGGCCCATTCCGGGGCGAGGGGCCTGGACCCAATAGTGTCCCAGGACCAAGCCATGCTCGCAAGCCTGGAGTGGGCTCTGGGGATGAGAAGCGGCTGACTCTGGGCCACAGCCAGCTGGACCTCATCACCAAGTATCATCAACTGCAGGGTGCCAGACAGGGACCTGAACATGACCTCCCCGGGAGCCCCACAGGTGGCCATCGCAGTGGCAGTAGCAATGGCCCATTTGAGGATGAGAAACGGATGACCCTGGGCCATAGCAAACTGGACCTCATCACTAAGTACAACAAGTCCAAGTTCAAGGTGCTCCGAAGCCGCTTTGAGTCCTAGTCTTGCTCCCAGCAGGGATATGTCCCTCCTCCGTCTGCTGAGACTCTAGATCCTAGACTTTGGGGTGGAAGCTCAGGCAGACGTGGCACGGGGAGGAGAGGGTGGCTAGAAGCCCAGGTTAGACAAACCCTGGGCTCAGGATTCTTGCTCACTACACACACACACACACACACACACACACACACGAGGACATACACATGGGGAAACAGAACCCACAGTTAATGGCATTTTTCACTGTTACTACTTCTCATTCTTTATCTTCAGCCCTACAAGACAGACCTCCAGTAGATAAAACACCCTAGGGTCATAGGTGTAATCTTCCCTATTTTATAAACATGGAAGCTGAGGCCCAGAGAGTTGATGATTTGCTTGGAATCAGGTCTAAGTAAGTGCCAGAGTAGGCACCCACGCCTGTGTCTCTAACTCTTACGACTGGTTTTGACACAGACACAACACACAATATCAACAATTCATATGTCCCCATGCACACGAAATACACACATCACACGGATGCCTCAAATGCCTGCACAATACACGTAGCACACCAGCAGGGTTCATGTCCACAGGCTGCACACCCGTACACGCCATCATGTCGTTTGGCTAAACAAATGGCTACAGAAAATATGCATTCATTCACACTGTAGACCCCTCAGGACCCACGGACCATAAATATGCACATAAACACACATATGCAGAGCATGTACCAACCAGTATTTTCTTGTACCTAGTTTGTGTACCCAGCCCTGCTGGGCATGCTGTAGGGCTGGCAAACGAATCAGACACAGCCCCCAGATTAAGTGCCTAAACCACTGGCCAGCAAGACAAGGCTAATTAATATCTAATGAAAAGCAAACCGATGACAAAGGATAGTAGAGAATGAAGCGCAGAGAGTCCCGGTGATGGTGGAGTGGTGAGGAAAATATTTTAGAGGAGGCAACCTTTGAGAAGGGCTTGAAGGATGGGGAGGGTTTGGACAGACGGAGGAGAGGCCGGAGGCATTCTGGTGAAGAGACACTGGGGAGGGGGCTGAGGGAGGGGTCTGAGATGAGTTGGGGAGGATGTAGAGGGTGTGCGGCACACGCACACACATGCACACACACATTTTGCTGAGTGTTCCTAGAAGCACAGGCTCTGACAAGTGGGTCCTTCTCCTGCGCTCACCACCTGCCTGAGACCGTGTAATACATGATACAAATCAATAAAAGCAGACATGTTATGACCCTGCTGCAGCTTGGTGTATCCCGAGGAAGGCGGAGTTATGGGATTGTGCCTCGGGGGCTGGGGAAGTGCACCATTTAGGGCAGTCACGGAGGACTCCCTGCAGGACTGCGGATGGCTACAGGAGGGCGGAGCGGGTAGGAAAGGGGCTCCAAGCACCCTCTGCCTTCACTGAGACATCCCGAGAGCTCTTGTGGCTTTTGTAGATCCTGCAAAATGTGTGTCAAGTGCATCCCATCCAAGACTGCATGTCCCTTGACCAGCACTATCTATCCCGGGTCAGAAAGTGGCTGCTGAGTGTGATCGAGCACATGCAGGGGGCACGTAGTGCCCCTACACCCTTGCCCACTCCGGACCCTCCCTAAGACCTTGATCCTCCATCCTCCCCCCTCTCCAATACCTTCTTCAGCCTGGCTTCCTCCGCTTTTCTGGCCGCGCCTCGTCCTCCAGCCCCTGTCCTGGCCTCACTTCTTACCTGGTCTTACCTCATCCACCCCAGGCTTCAGCCCCAAATCTCAGCGCTTCGCTCCTCCCTGGGCTCCAGGTCTGGCCCGGACATCTGTCTCACGCCTCACACTCGATCTGTCTGTCACCTTCCCCACACCGGCTTTTCCTCTGCAGGCTTTACTTCAGTAAATTCCTCCATCATTAACTTATCTGTGAGACATCCCTGGCTCCTCCTCTAGTGTCCCTCATACCCAACCTGCCACATATCTCGGTCGATTGTACCTCCTAAAAAGTTCCTGAATGAGTGAATGAATGAGTGAATGAATGAATGACGAACGCATGAATGTGAGCATGCTGGGGGCGGGGCCAGGCGGCAGCACCACCTCACCGATCGCAACCATAAAGCCCTCCGAGAGGGTGGAGCTAGAGTGGCCGCCTGCGTGGCTGGGGGGCGCCGGGCTCTACCGGAAGTCTCCAAGGCGGAGGCGGAAACGGAAACCTACTTGGGACAGAGAAGGGCCTGTTGAGGCGTGCGGAGTTTGCTGTTACCTGGTCAGTCCGTGTGGAGAGCGATCGCAAAGGTCAGCTCGGGCGCCCCGGGTCAGGGTGGGTGGCGGCCGGAGGGTTCGGGGCGGGAGAGTTTGAAGGGGCCGGGTGGGCGGGACCTGAGGTCTGAGGGCCCGAGAGGGGTGGGGTCGCGCTGGGATTTGAGGGGGTGGGGTCGCGGCAAGCTGTGGGGACCAGGACCCCAGCCGGGAGAGGATCCGCTGGCCTTGAACTCCCGGCCCCACCGCCCCCAGGTCTCATGGCGGTCCGAGCATCGTTCGAGAACAACTGTGAGATCGGCTGCTTTGCCAAACTTACCAACACCTACTGCCTGGTGGCCGTCGGAGGGTCAGAGAACTTCTACAGGTGCGGCGGGAGCGCCGGAGCGCGTTGGCCGTGTGTGGATGGGTGGCGGGAAGGGGTCCTGGGAGTCGGGGACACCGGCGGAGTGGGGGCTCAGGCCCCGCCCCACCGAGAGCATGTTCCTACAGTGTGTTCGAGGGCGAGCTCGCCGAGACCATCCCAGTGGTGCACGCGTCCATCGCCGGCTGCCGCATCATCGGGCGTATGTGTGTGGGTAAGCCATGTGGAAGACGCCGAGGGAGGGAGTGGAGCCTCCCAGCACCTTTAATCACACCCCTGGAGGGGACCCGAGTGGCCCGGGGATTTCCAGGCTTCGGTCCATTATTACAGAATCTCTGAGGCCTGGGCCTGATGCAGGCTGTGTCAGGAGGTTAGGGACAATCTCTGGTTATAGAAACAACAAATAACATTAAGTGCTTTCACTCTTACACTTGTTTCCACCCTTTGTTCACGAAGACCCTGGCATTTAGGAATTATTGGCCAAATCTGGCTGATGAGAAAGCTGAAGTGACTCACCAGGTGAGGCAAGGCTGGAATGCCCTCTGTCCGCTGTTACCAGCACTGGGCAAGTTGCTTTGGATTTCTGGGCATTCATTTCTGCCTTTGAAAAACGACAGGCTTTGATTCTGGATCAACCTGTTCCATCCATTTACATCTTAAATTCCTAGGCCTCAGCACTGCTGACTCTGGCCCTTGGTTCTTTTTTCAGCTGGGTCTGTCTCCCCTTACTGCCACCCCTCATTTCCAGTTGTGCGCACTAGGGTCATGTAGGGGTTTGTTCCTTTATTTTTTTACCGTAAATCGGATGGCGTTGGCCTCTAAGTATTTTGTTATTGAGGAAGAACACTCTTATTCCTAACCATGATCTTAGGACCTGAAGCAAGTTCTTATGTAACAGGGGAGATATATTTTTTTTTTTATGATGGGAGTAACTGAGAGTTCCAAAGGCCCCGGAACTGTGCCCATGCAGAGGGAGGCAGAGGTTTAGTCATTGTTGTCATAGCGTCACTGTTGCTTGCCCAGTCTCGTTTCTGTAGGTGCAGTACATCTTATGTAAGCATGCCACGGTGTATTTGCCCTTGTATTGACCGTGGACATTTGGGTGGTTTTCAGTTTGGTCTCTTCTAAATAGGGCTGCTATATTTTTTAGCAAATACATGTATGTATATCTGTTGGATATACAATACCTAGGAGAAAGTGGGTGGGTCACAGGGTGTTTGAATATTCAGTGTAGCAGATGATGCCAGGTAATTATCTGAAGTAGTTAATCAATTTACAGTCCTATTGGTTATTCCACATATTTTTGCCAACACTTGGTATTGATGGTGTTTTAAAAATTTTTAACCATTCTGGTAGATGTGCAGTGTTGTTTTTTAAGTAGCAAAATATACAACTGATGCCAAGGGCCCCTCCTGCTAGTCTTGATCCCCCGGTTGGTGGTGGCGAAGTGGGTGGGGTGGGTTGGGACAGACTCCTGGGCCGTCTGCAGCCTGCCCAGTGGGACTCCCGGTCCCCCCGTGGTGTCGTATGGATCAATGGGTTACAGGGCTGGAGTCTGGGCCCAAAGCTTTGATGGGAAAGCTAACCGGGCTGGGTTGTATCCTTAGCCCTCAGGGCTCAGCAGGCATCTCGTGTATTCACCATCCTTCCTTGCTCCACCCCCCAATTCGGGTCTCTCCAGGGAACAGACACGGTCTGCTTGTACCCAGCAACACCACCGACCAGGAGCTACAGCACATTCGAAACTCCCTCCCAGACTCAGTGCAGATCCGGCGGGTCGATGAGAGGCTCTCAGCCCTGGGCAACGTCACCACCTGCAATGACTACGTGGCCTTGGTCCACCCAGACCTGGACAGGGTAAGGCAGCCTGGTTTGGCCCAAGAGTCACGAGACTAATCTAGTGAATGGTTAGCCACTGTTCTTGCCTATCAGGTGGGACTTAGGGGTATCTCTTATGGTTTCTCTTTATGCCTGGGGTCTCGCATCTCAGGCCCTCATTGAACTAGCAATAACAGAGGCCTTTCGTGGTGGGGTCAGTGTCAGAGAGCAACTGGGGAGGGTATTAATCCTTCAGAATCAGGTTGATTGACCCATCAGGTCCTACCAACAGGGCCAGGAGAGATGATTGACAGTTGAGCTCTTGAGTGTGGTTTAGAGGGTGGTGTGGGGAGACCAGCTCCTCCTTTTTCTAGGTGAGGGGCTTAGGGTGTCAAGCCCTAGGTGGTTCTGGGCATGAAGGGCCCTGGGTTCTTTGACCCGCAAGTCCAGCCCCCTGAGTACAGTACCTTGGACTGACAGGAGACAGAAGAAATCCTGGCCGATGTGCTCAAGGTGGAAGTCTTCAGACAGACGGTGGCGGAACAGGTGTTAGTAGGAAGCTACTGTGTCTTCAGCAATCAGGGAGGGCTGGTACATCCGAAGACTTCGATTGAAGACCAGGACGAGCTGTCCTCTCTCCTTCAAGTCCCTCTTGTGGTAAGCATTCTTGTTCTCTGACCTCTGTCTCTTGCTGAAGCAGATCCCTTTGTCCTGGTTTCTTATGGTTATTACCTGTCTCAGTTTGGGGTTGGGGCAGCAGGTCAGGCAGCAGGGTTTGGGGAGTCCTTGCCAGGGATGGGAGAGACTTGGGTTGTCGATGCCATGATCCTTATTGACCTATCACTTGGCAGGCGGGCACTGTGAACCGAGGCAGCGAGGTGATTGCTGCTGGGATGGTGGTGAACGACTGGTGTGCCTTCTGTGGCCAGGACACAACCAGCACAGAGCTCTCGGTGGTGGAGAGTGTCTTCAAGCTGAATGAATCTCAGCCTAGCACCATTGCTACCAGCATGCGGGATTCCCTCATTGACAGGTATCTGGGCCTCTCTTCTGCCTTTGGAGAGTAGGGGAAGGAGGTGCCACTTATAATGGGGACCACAGTGCATTCATGCCCGTGGTTTCTCCTGGTGTGTGCGGGCGCACCTGTGCCGTGCCGTGCTGTGCAGGTGCAGCTCGCAAGCACTGCCTGAGCATCGGCTCACCCCAGGTTCGAAGACTTGGTTTAGTGTATTGCCACTTTGGGCAAAGCTTCCCTCTGGGTCTGTCTTCATTTGTCACTTACCACATGGTGTCAGCCTGTGTGTCGGTGTCCCCAGCCAACAGACTGAGACAAAAAGAGCTGTGTACCGAGGGAAGGAAGGCAGGCTGTTCTGAGGAACTGAGGAGACTTCAGGTGCCTAACAGACTTGGGGGGTGTGGATTGCATCAAAATCACGATCATCTGGGTTTGGGGTGGGGATTAAAAATACTTGTTTATTTATTTTAGAGAGGTGGGAAGTGGGGGGAGAGAAACACTGACTGCCTCCCCTTGTGCCCCAACCAGGGATCCAACCCTCAGCCCAGGCACATGCCCTTATGGGAATTGAACCCCCAGCCTTTTGGTGTAGGGGCAGTGCTCCCACCAACTGAGCCACACTGGCCAGGGCTTGTAGGTTTTTTAAAAAGTGGGTTCTTGGGCCTTAACCCTGGAGATTCAGGTGTGTAAGGCTCTAAAACAGGGGTATCGAACTCATATTCACTGGGGGGCCATGTCCGCCTTGCAGTTGCTTTCAAAGGGCCGAATGTAATCTTAGGATTGTATAGATGTAACTACTCCTTAGCTAGGGACAAGGAGCTCAGCGCTGCTGCTGGGTGGAAACAAGGTGCCAGGCCGGATAAAACAAGGTGGAGAGTCAGATTTGGCCCACAGGCCTTGTGTTTGCCTCCTGTGCTTCTAGAATCTTCTTCCTTTGGAAGATCAGCAGATGCTGGATATTTGGCCCCCTCTGTCATTCCCCATTGAGGATCCTTCCCAAGGCATATGCCACAACCAATTAGCACAGGCGTCTTTATGAGGCTAGAAATGGCAAAGTAGATCAAACGCCCAGCAATGGCCTTCCTCCTGACGGCGGGCAGCATTTCCCCTCATTCTGCCTTCTTCACTTGTCTGTTCATTTGCCTGATGTTCCATGAGCTCCATGTGGGATAGTCAGGCAACCTGTTGTACTACTTCTGCCACTGAGGGGCTCCCAGTGGAGCAGGCGAGGAAAGTTGTAGTGGCCGCATGTAAGTCTTAGCTACCTTCAAAGGAGAAATAAAAGGCACCTGAAGTGGCCCGGGAAGCTCTGGTGGGATGCTTCCTGGGACCCAGGAAGACCTGGTGGAGCACGGTTCATTTAGTCTGGGCTTCAAAGAATGAGTGGGTGATTGTGCGTGGATTAGAGTGGAAGCACTTCAGACAGACGGCGATGGCGGAGTGTGGAGTGTGCGAAGGGGAAGCGTGGTATTCCCAGCGTGCTGAGGACTCTGAATGCCCATGTCAAGAATTGTTGTTGGTTTTTTCTCCCAACTACAGTTGACATTCAATATTATATTAGTTTCAGGTGTACTGCATAAGTGACTAGATATTTATGTAACTTACGAAGTGATCCCCCTCATAAATCTAGTACCCACCTGACACCATACAGAGTTATTACCATGTTATTATTTTCCCCATGCTGTACTATTTTGTAACTGCCAATCTGTACCTTTTAATCCCTTCACCCTTTTCATCCAGCTCCCCAGCCCCCACCCCCATGCCAAGAAGTTTTGACCGCAGATCTGTGTTTTTGGTCTTCGGTCTATGTTGGATGCTTGTTGACAAAGACGCCTCAGCTACTGATTCCCTAGGTCTGGAGTGGGGCCCAGCCGTGTGTGGTCATTTTAATAAGCTTCCCTGTGTGATTCTGAAAGGGCAGTTCGGACACCACACTGACACAGCCGCTCTCAGCGCCAGAGGGCGGTGGAGAGGGTCTGTCCGCACAGGAAAGGGGGACCAGCGGTTTGTCATTGTGCAGCCACCTTCATTTGAGTACCTGTTACGTGCCGCACAGCAGTGGTGCGCCGACGAATAAAATGCACCCCCTGCCCTTTTGGAACATAAGCTCTCATAACAAAAAAAGAAAGTATTCACACCACTGATCATTTAAAGAAAAAACAAAAATCTCTTAGCAACCCAAGGACAGATTTCTATAACCTGATCATTGGTACCTACTAAAAAACTAGAGCAAATGTTTCATTTGAGGGTGAAACTTTAGGAATTCTCGTTAAAGTCTTGTGGTTAGCAGCACTGGTCAGCACTGCAGTTTGAGAAAATTAAGAAATGGGTATTGGAAAGAAGAGACAAAGCTCACTCGCCTCGTTTGGTTTTGAGCCCGTTGAGTTGGAGGTGCCTGTGAGACTTTACGATGAAGGTGTCAGGTAGGCCCTTGGAAATATGTGCTGCATTTTTACGATCGTGCGCATGGCTGTCACTTGCAGGAAGAAAGTTCTGGCCTGAGCCCTGCCACTGGGGGATCTGTGGTCTAGGCACATCCCTTTGCCTGTCTGAGCCCTTTTGTTCCTGTCTCTCCTGTCTGTTGGACGGGACCTCTGAGGATCCAATTTAAGACCAATAACAGTTTGCATAAATTAATAAGTTGACCCACCTGAGTAGGAAAGGAGCTATTTTTAGTTTTTAAGCATCGAGAGTTCTAGACTGGATTGTAACTCATGGTATCAGTGGAACCTGGAGCGGGCTTTGAGGGCGGCTCTTCAGGGCTGAGCTGGGACAAAGGGCCTGGGGTACGGGTGGAGGCAAGCACCTTGAGAGTGGAGGGCGAGGCGTCCTCTGTGAGGACCTGCTGACAGATACTCCTTTCTCTCTTCCTAGCCTAACCTGAATCACCTTCCGTGCTGTTTGGCGGGCTCCTGGCCCTGAACTTTGGCTCCCTGTCAACGTCCCACCCAGTCTGTCCTGGATGCTGGCAGAAGGGTGGCAGAGAGCTCATGGGTATCGAGTGGCTGGATGCCCAACCCTTCCTCACCTGTGCCCATCTCCTGAATCTGTACTTACTGCAAAAATCTGCCATGAGCTGGCTGTCAGGCCCTGTGATTCCTGGCTGAGAGCTGTGCTGTCCTGTGCCACCCAATTAAAGGCAGCTTCTGTGCATTATGAATGTGTTGTTTGTTTGGCGGCTTCAGCCTGCACCCAGCCCTCCCCATTGTTCCAGGGGGAAACTGGGGTAGGATACACACACGCGCGCTCTCCAGGTCCACAGTCTGACACCCCACTGTGTAATTCTCCCATTTTCCACGCGGCCTTCGAAGGATGAGATTCCGTTTTAATTCTCCCCTGGGCCGTTGTGAGAACCCCGGGGCAGAGCCCTGTGTAGGGCCCTGGGGCACCTGGCCATAGGGCAGTCTTGTCCTTGACCCAACGTGGATGGATGGCCCAGCTGCCTGGTTGCCGCGGATACCGCGGATGGTCTCTTCAACCCCAGCAGGACCTTACCTTAAGGTGCTTGGGTGGGCGTGTGTTGTTTTGGCAGCTCGTGGGGCGGGGCCCTGGGAGGTTGGGGCAGGATTGGCCGGTTGCTGGTGGGTGGGGTCGTCTTCTGGGCCCTGCCCCCGGGATCAGGGTATTTCCGGCAGGCGGGCGGGTCTGTGACATCACGACGCCAGTCACGCCCTTCCCTGCTGCGCAGGCCCGCAAAGCCTGGAGGTCGGCGCTGGGATTCTCCGGGATATTCTTCCGCAAGCGTCAGGTGAAGGCCAGAGTGGGGCTGGGACCAGAGTGGGGCTGGGGCCGGAGGGGCGCGTAGGGCTGGCCCAGCCCATGACGGGCTTCTACTCCTGCAGACCATGGGAGCTCAGCTGAGCGGCGGCGAGGGCGCGGTGGAGCCGGTGGAGCCGGCGCAGCCCCAGCCCGCGGCACCCGCGGGTCCTGAGCGACCCAGGCCCGAGCCCAGCCCCTGGGGACCGCTGGACGACGTGCGCTTCCTCATTGCCTGCACCTCTTGGTACTGACTCTCCGCCCTCCGAGTGGCCTTACCACCGCCTGTCATTCTGTTCGCCTCTCCTGGTCTGGTCACTGTTGTCTGCCCCCATGTCTCTCCTAACCTATCCCCCCATTCTCGCTCCCCGGACATGACAGCGAGTGGAGGACGTGCAGGGGTGGGGCCCATGGAGCACCGTCTGGTCTCTGGCCCCTCCTGCCATCCTGAATTTCTTCGCTTTCCACCCGGCACCCAAGCCACTTCAGACCTTCGGGCTCACCCCCACCCCGCAGCTCTGGGTCTTGGGTCAGCCTTCCCTGTCACTGACTTCAGAACCCGGCCAGGGCTCTTGGTAAGACCTAAGGGCTACTCACCTCACCTCCCCTGTCCCTTATTGCTGAGAACTGGGCTCTTGCTTTTGTTCCTGGTCATTGCACCATGTGCCTTGACTTGAGAGAAGGCCTTGCCGCGGTGACCCTTCCCATACTCCTCCCAAGGGAGGTTGCCCCTCTAGCCCGGACCCCAGTGAGGTATTATCAGGCTGTATTTCTGGGACTCCAGTAACCCTGGGCCTTTCGAGTCAGTCTTTTGGAGGGAGGGGGCATCTGATGGCTGGGCTGGCAGATGAGATGAACGGGACCATTCCTGGACACCTTAAAGTACCCCGTTTCTCTCCTCCTAGAACTTTCTCAGGCCGTTGTCGGAACCTGATCCTCTTTCCCACATCCAAGGGAAATGACACACTCTGTATTTTTGTTTTATTTAGAAATGATTTAAAAAACATTATACAAAGGCTGATCAGTTTAAAATGTGACTGACATTGAAATGCTGTGATGTTCCCCAGGCCGAGGGGAAGCTAGGCTCCAGGGCCCCCAGGACTTCCCCCCTCTGTCTGCTCTGCCTTGGGACGACGGACACACAGACGACTGCGAGACGATGCAGGAGGACCCGAGACTGGAAGCCTGCAGGCTGAGCCCTGTCTGGGCCCAGCCTCACATCCCTCACATCTGCAGCCTGGGCTGCCTGCCTCCATCTCCTGCTCTTCCTCACCTGACCTCGGCAGTACCAGGAGCCAACGGGGAACCTGGGGGGCCTAGAGCGTTCAAGAAGTGAGAGCACCAACCTGAGGAGTGGAAAGGGACCAGGGAAGGGGAAAGGGAGGCCAGGAAGAGATGGATAAAAGAGACACTTCTGATCTCATCTTGGACCCAAGGCCCAGCCAGCCCCCTGGGTAGCCTGGGCATGTCACCACCTCTCTGTGCTTCATGTGAGGGCAGGGTGAGAATTACCCTCGGCTTCCCAGGGCCTACACTAGTTTCATGTGAGTGGACAGGTGTGAGCTAATAAAGTGCTTTGCAAAGTATAAAACACTGTACAAACCTATGAATCACTAATATCTCCGCAGTTGTTCCCCACCCGCCCCAGGGAGCCCGCCCTTGACCAAAATGAGAAAAAGAAGGATAATGACAGGGAACACAGTGGACCCAAATAGGTGCCTCTGGGACAAGACATTTTGCTTGGGACAGTTCCCGGGCAGCAGAAGTCCCTGTCTCCTACAGGTTAAGCCAACCCGCAGACCAGAAGCCACAGCGGGCGGCAAGGCCCGTGCAGGCTTAGAGGGCCAGGCTGGCATCCGAGGCCCTGCCAGCACCCTAAAGACTGGCACTGCCTCTTGGATTTGGCAGAGAGCCAGCGGGCATCATTGAACCCATTGGTCTTGCCTAGGGCTCCTCAGTGACAAGCAGGGCTGCCTCCACTGGGTTGGAGTTGAGGCAAGCCGAGCCCTAGGAATTCCTGCCAGACAGTGTAGGGTGGGCCCCTAGGATTGGGGCCTCGACCCATTGCGGGTGCCCTTTTCTAAAGAGCAATGCAGGAAGGTGGGCCTGGTGAGCTGGACTAGTAAGGGCCACGCTCGTGATGTGAACACTGGTCCTGGGCAGAGAGGTTCAGTGGGCCTCGGTGTAGCTGGGGGGTGTGGGCTCAGCGCTTCAGAAAGCTGCCCTGAGTCCCTTACCCCAAGGCTGTGAGGACGTTGGTCTGGAGCCATTTCTGCCTCACCTAACCAGTCAGGCTGAGCCCCCAGGCTGCAAGCTACAGGCCGGAGTGGGGCTGGAGACTGGGGGATGGGGCCAGGGTCTGGGGAGTAAAGGGTGGTCACACTCAGATCAGCCTCCGGAAAAGGGGTCGGCTCCTGTCCCAGCGCTTTGGCCTCATGAGCAGGGCCCAGCTCCTGGAGTGTATGGGCGGTGGAATGGCCTTAGCAGCACCTTGGTCCTCATCACATGCCATGCAGGCCTCGTAACCAAAACAGTCACCTCTAATTCACCTAAAGCCTCAAGCAGCCTTTGCAGAATGGGACTTTAAAGAGTAGAGACAGGACGTTTAAATGTTCAAGATGTGACAGCTAGGTCCTTGTGAGACCCAGCTGGGCCACAGCCCTGCCTGCAGCCTGTGACCCTAAGTCCTGGGTCTCAGAGGAGACCCCGATGTATGGGGCAGGTTTCCGGAGGGATCTGCTGCATGCCAGCAGGGGAAGCCCGTCACCCACCGTGCTGGCAGCAGGGTCCTGTAGCCTTGGAGAACGGTGGGGTACGGGTGGGGGGCACATCTGACCAGCAGGTGTTGGCAGAGAGGGACCAGGACTGGTGGCTTCTCCCAGATGGGGCTGAGAACGCTCGTGCTAGCTTCCCACAGAAGGTGCTGGGTCCAGCCAGGAACCAAGCTGTGGTGTCTCACAGACACCACCGGATGCAGTGGCCACAGGGCCTCCTCCTGGCTTGGTGCCTGGCCTATTGCCTTGAGTAGGGAGCAGTTTACCCAGGACAGAAGGCTGGCGTCTGGGTGCCAGACAGCCACTCCTGGGCACAGCTGCCACCACTCCTTATCCCACGTTCAGCCTAGGCCAATGCACCCACCACTTCAACTACATGACCCCTGGCCTAGGGCCCTGCTGGCTCCGGTGGGCAGTGGCCAGAGCTGCCCCTCAGGCCCTGGTGAGGAAGGGCCTGGCTGGCCAGACTGAGTAGACAGAGAGGGCTCTGGGCTGCTCACACCCACTCCTGGACTGGCCGCTTATAGTAGGTGACAGGCTGAGGGCCTGCCTTGTTCTTGAACTGGAAGATGGTGTAGACCAGCACCAGGATGCAGAGGGACAGGATGCAGGGGATGACCACGGCCACCGCGTTCACGGAACCTGGCACGTCGTTGATGGTCACCATGATGCCCACATCATCCTGGGGCAGCCGCCGCTCCTTGCGCCGTTCAACCTCCTTCTGGTTGCAGCCCATCCAGTCACGCAGGATGTTGCGCGGGTAGCCAGGCTCCACGCTGAGTTTCTGGTTGTCGAACTTCCAGTAGTCCCGGCCCTTGTAGAAGTAGGTGTAGTCTGCGGAAACAGCCCGGTGTCAGCACCACTCCCAGACGCTTGCCCCACACCCGCTCTGGGCCAGTGTGAGGGTGCAGGGTGCTGTGGCAGCATGGAGGAGGGGCCCCTCTCCCACCCTGGGGGTGCTCCAGGGGGCCTCTGAAGGAGGGGTGGGCTTCCGGGGTGGTGGGGGCAGTGTGTTGGCACATTGGCGGGGGTGGGGGAGCGCAGAGCTCTGCACATCCTGCAAATAGTGTGGCTGCGGAGGGGGGCACCCAGGACCTGGAGCGGCCATTGAGGGGCTTTCAGTAGAATGGGTAAGTTCAGTCCGTGCCTGCCAGACGGGGTCCTTCTCAGGCCCGTCACACTGCACTGCAGGTGCCCTCATGTGGGGTCAGATCGAGCCCCCAGTTTGGGGCTCGGACAGCACTGTCCCCACAGCTGTAGGGCCTCAGCCCGGCTCCCACCTGAGCCAAGGGAGGCAGGGAGCGGGGCTTCACCTTCTCTTGACAGCGGACACTACCTCTCTGCATTTATCAGGGATTTTTTTTTTTTTTTTGGCTTGGCACACATCGCTTTGCAACACTGATTGCAGGGCCTCTGGGATCCTTCCAGGGGACGGGCTGGAAGGAAAGAAGGGAGCAGGGCTGGGGGCTACCCCAAGGCGCCTGGCAACAGCCTCAGTCACCAGCCAGTGCAGAGAGGGACAGCAACGTTCTCAGAAGACTCTCATTGGCCGGCTCCCCACCATGGCTGGGACTTTCATTGGCCAAAGTCGTTGATGTCATCTGTCTCTGAGGCTCCCCAGAAAGCAAGACTGTGTGTATAAAGCATCGGATACACAGGAGAGCCACCGAATAGCCGCCGCTCCTGTCCCTGTGGCTGTTGGCTTTCTCACCAGCGACTCTCCTCAGAGAGTCCTCCCCGACGACCTTCTCTAATGCGGCCCCTCTGCCTTGTTGCTCTCTCCCAGCATTTCTACCCCTTACAGCATTTGCTGCTGCTTATTTTTTTTTGCCTCTAGCCTGGGAGCCAGAACGTAATACAAGCCTTGTTCTCTGCTCCATCCTCGGCCCTCCCACACAACCTGGTTCCAAGTAATCACTGTGGAGTGAATGAATCTGTCATTCTGTATAAACTAAAACACACCAACAAGATGATGATGATGATAATGATGATGATGATGATGATGATAGCAGCTAAAACATATGGCATTGGCCATGTGCTCAGCATTGGTCTAAGGGCTTTACATAATTTATCTTGTTTAATCCTTACAAAACCCTATGAGACAGGTACCATTGTTATCCCCACTTTACAGACGAGGAACTGAGAAAATGAGTGATTTGCCCAAACTCACAGTAAGGGGTGGAGATGGGGTGTGAGACCAGCCAGGCTGTGCTTTTGGTCATGTCAGTGGAGATGTGTCCAACAAACATTTGTGGGTGCCCACTCTGCCCCTGGCAAGACCCAGCCCCTCCTCTTGAGAAGCTCCTAGTCCGGCCTCCGGGAGGAGCTTGGAAAATGTCTCACAAATCAAAAAGGCTTCTCTCTCTACCTTCCTGCCCTCAAGCCCTGTGCAAAGTCGCCTTCGAACCACCGTATCCCTCACTGCTTTTCAGATGTGATAACTCGAACTCCGAGAGCACCCCGAGGACCCCTGAGAAACGCTGTCTGAAGGAATGCAGTCTGTGAAAACATCTCTCAGTTGCGACCCGTTCCTGAAGATGAGACACCGAGGCTTGGTAGCTGGTAAGAGGATTCACTGTGTGAATGTGGGTGGGCGCAAGGCGGTTGTCCTTGCCCCCAGGTGGTGTTTCTCGGACCTGGATACCCCGAGAGGGTGCCCGTGGGCCTTGCTGGGACCCCTCCCACCGGCCCGGCCCTTACGTACATCCTTCCTTGCTGATGAAGGCCCCTTGGGGGGCCTGTGGGATGCCCTTCCACACGGTGATGGGCTTGGGGTAGCCAGGGTCCGTGGCCCGCCGCTCTTCACTGTAGCGCCAGTACTGCTCGCCTTTGAAAAAGTAGGTCTTGCCCACGGGTTCCCAGCGCAGAGCCGTGTCAATGCCTTCTCGGGGCAGACAGCTGCCCAGCTCCCCCAGGCTGTGGGGGTACCCAGGCTCCACCGTCACCTCCTTGAACACCCAGTACTTGTCACCTGTGGCCAAGAGGAGCCCAGGATCAGCCTTGCCCAGTCACTCAATGCCAGAGGTTGTGGCTAGTGCTCCTGGCCCATCTCCTGCTGGGACTGAAGTCATTCATAGTGCCAGAGTGTTCAGGGGGAAACAGCCCTAGGCCTGCTGGATCCCCTCAGTGGGAGACGGAGGCCCCTTGGCCCAGGCAAAGCTTAGTTAAGGGGCAAGAAGCCAGAAGCCAGAAGCCAGTCACGGATCACCCCATGCTGCCCGGGCTCCATGTCTCACCCTCTTTCCTTTTGTGGGACTTGCTCCTTTCTCCTCTCTGGGTGACCTCAGCCACTCACACACACTAGTGTTCCCCATTTCCCACCCACCCCCACCTGCTACCAATGACACCCAACTGGAGGCCGGAGCCCACAGTCACTGTCCCAGTAGATCTGAGCACCAGTCTCGGTACCCTGACGGCCCACCAGCTTCTGGGCATCTCCAAGGCGGCTCCCTGGAGTTCTTCATCTCCACCACAGGGGGCTGCCTCCCTGCTCACCTTTTGGCCTCCCAGAGCCCCTAACAAGTGCCAGCATCACCTTTGACCCTGTTTCCTCCTCCTCTCAGTGCTCCGCCTCTCTTGAGACCTGGGTTTGATCTTCCAGGTAGCTCCAGCCTCTCTGCTGCCCCCGCCACGGGCCTTACAGACAGCGCTCTCCTCAGCTCCCAGCAACCCTCTCAGAAATGGCCTCCCCGCCCCTGCACCTGCCCCCTGGCTCTCTGCGGCTTGGAAACAGCAATTTCTGGTGTTGCCCTAATGGGTCAATATTAAATTCTGGCCTGGCAAACAAGGCTCCTCAGGCCTCGCCCCCAAACTGCCC